TTGATGCCCTGACTAAATTAAAGAATATTTTAAAAGTTAAAAAATGTTTTGAAGTGTATTTTGAGGTTAATGTAGATAACACATAAAGTGAAGCCTCAGTCAAATTAAAACAATGTAACAGACTGTTTGGCAATAGGCTGCTTCACAGTAACTCACCACTGTGCAGAGCTTTGTCTATGCAGCATCTCATTTAATTCCCATCACAACTCAGTGTAGTTAATTTTGCATTTCCATTGCATAGTCGAGGAAAATGAGACTAAGGGAGAATGAAATGTCTTGCCCCAAATCACAAAGTTAGTAAATGGGAGAGTCATATTCTGTCTCAGCGCTGTCTGCCTCCAAAATTCACTACCTGTTAATATTCTTTTCATCTGCATTGACCACTATAGTCTTACATCTTTCTTTTCCACATTTTAGGTTATGCTGGAAAAGCACAGAGGAATTTAGTCACAGCGTGTATTAGGGGCTCACCTGTTCTCCAGTGGAGATTACATATAACTATCCCACATCCACCACAGATCTGGTGGCCTGGATAATTTATCATCCAAACCTGGACACTTGAGAGGGTGCTTTTTACCAGAAATAGAGGCACAAACTAGGATTTTCCAGAGCAGAATGAGGACATAAGATGACCCCATATAAAGCAGTAGTCTCAGGGAAGGCATGCCTTATCAGAATTTGGATGGAGGGGGTTGAAATACCCCATCCTGTGCTACTGTTAAAACACTCAAAGCCATCAAGTGCAGTGGCTCGTATCTGTAGTCCCAACTACTCTGGAGGCTGAGGTGGGAGGATGGCTTGAGGCTAGGAGTTCAAGGCTGCGCTGAGCCGTGATCTTACCACTATACTCCAGCCAGGGCTACAGAGTGAGACCCCATCTCTAACAACAACAACAACAACAACAACAAATACTCAAAGCCACAGGTCAGATTTCTGCTTTGCTTTCAAGCTACCCAGCTTCAGCCCACCCCTTTTAGCCACTCCTTCTAGAAGTGTTTCCTCACCTCCCCCATCACTGGTCTAGAATCATGGAGAGCCTCTTGTGTAAGTGTTCAGCCACCTGTGAATTAACCAAAAGAACAGGCCATTTTACTAACCATTTATTAATATTCAGTCTCCAAGATCAGAGAAGGGGTTGGAGTTGATCAAATATGTTGAGGCACAAAAGTCTGGAATATCTCCTGCATCTGGTAAAGTCTAAAGCTGGTGCTGAAACTTCAGTAAAGCCAGGCACGGTGGCTCATGCATATTAATCCCAGCACTTTGGAAGGCCAAGGCGGGTGGATCACCTGAGGCCAGGAGTTCAAGACCAGCCTGGCCAACATGGTGAAACCCCATCTCTACTGAAAACACAAAATTAGCCAGGCATGGTGGCACACATCTATTTTCCCAGCCACTCGGGAGGCCGAGGCAGGAGAATCTCTTGAACCCAGGAGGCAGAGGTTGCAGTGAGAAGAGATTGTGCCATTGCACTCCAGCCTGGGTGACAAGAGCAACACACCATCTCAAAAAAAAAAAAAAAAAAGGAAAAAAAGGAAATTCAGTAAAGCAACACTGTGGAGGGAACAGGTAGTTCCCTAAATAATACCACCTAAGAATTCTTCATGTTGAACACATTTTTCAGTATTACAGATGGTAAGGATTACTACTTGAGGGTCATGTGCCAAGAGGGAAGTAATGTAACCCTTCTTTGCAACATTTCAGGTCTGACTCTCCTAAATAAAGCTGAGAATTATCAGTTCTCAAGCCATGGTGCATTTCATTTTTACTTCCTCCAATAAACTGGAAAATGTACCTGATATTGGCATTATAACCATGTTATAACATTTATACTTCTTAACTCTAATTAATAAATGTAATTTGCGGTTTATCAGAAGGCTATAGGGATATTATTGCTAGTGTTTTGAGAAATATAAGATGTATTACTCCTGCGTCAATCAGTAGATATTGCCAAATAAATTTCAAGGTCATATAACTGAACATTACTATTGAACACAGTTTAGTTTTAAATAACAATGGGATTAAAATTCATCTTACAACTTCTATATAGATAAATTCAGTAATGTTTCAGGTTTTTTTTTTGTTGTTGTTTTTTGTTTTTGTTTTTTTTTTCTGAGATGGAGTCTTGCTCTGTCACCCAGGCTGGAGTGCAGTGGCGTAATCTCGGCTCACTGCAAGCTCCGCCTCCCAGGTTCATGCCATTCTCCTGCCTCAGCCTCCCCAGCAGCTGGAACAACAGGCGCACGCTGCCCCGCCCGGCTAATTTTTTTGTATTTTTATTAGAGACGGGGTTTCGCTGTGTTAGCCAGGATGGTCTCAATCTCCTGACCTCGTGATCCGCCTGCCTCCGCCTCCCAAAGTGGTGGGATTACAGGCGTGAGCCACCGCGCCCGGCATAATGTTAGTTTTAGGGTTGGAAGACAGATGCAAGGGAGACAAATATAGGAAAATTAAGGATCAATGAGCTATTTTTAATACTTTCAAATTAGGTTGGCAGCTGTTGTTAGTGTCAGGACTTAAATAACTTTGCTTTGTTAAAAAATAAATTCGCAACATATGGATTTCAGTATGTTGTGAATTTATTGTTTGTGCTTATTAGGGAAAGTCGCTTCAGCTGAAAAAAGTAAGAAATTCTCCAGAGGATTAAAAAACCATCCTTGTTAGTGGACAAGTGATCTTGTCTTATCAAGTCTTATCAAGACATCTAGCCTCAGCCGGTTGCTGTGGCTTATGCCTGTAACCCCAGCATTTTGGGAGGCTGAGGCAGAGGATTGCGTGAGTCCAGGAGTTCAAGACCAGCCTGGGCAACATGTTGAGACCCCCCCCTCCCATCTCTACAAAAATTTTAAAAATCAGCTGGGGATGGTGGTGCGTGCCTGTGGTTCCAGCTACCCAGGAGGCTGAGGCAGTAGGATCACCCTGGGTGACAGAGTAAGACCCTGTCTCAAAAAAAAAAAAAAAAAAATCCTCAGAAACTTCTAATCTTCTAAATTTACCAACTTTTACAGTAAAACCAGTCTTCTTGCTAATTAAATGAAGGAATTGCATTAGACTGGGTCTTAAATTCTTAAATTCTGTTATTTTTGGAATTATAAACCCAGGCCTGGGAGAGACATTCTGAGACCTTTTAATTCCCCCTTCAAACTCAATAAATGCATATGCCTATCTAGTGTGAAGAAAGAAACCCATCTATTATGTAGAAAAAAAACATCTTTCAAACTACCAAAGGAAATACCCCACTTTTCTTGTTAAGTACCCAGTATTTAAAGACACATTTGCTTTTTATCAACTGAAATTCCTCTCCTCTTCCTTTAGACTAGGGGACCTCAAGGGTTTCAGGGTGTCCTTAACACCAGGAGGAGGCAGTAAGGCTGGTGCAGTATTTGGGGATGGCCTTAAAGACCAGCCTGTGGAAAAACTGATCTAGGAACCTCTGGTTAAGGATGGCAGATTGAGTACACACAGTTAGTTCTATCCCCTTGCAAAATTTCATTAAAGTGACAGTAAAAGTATTTTTAAAAAAGAGGTAACCCACAAAGATGAATAAAATGGGAAAGAAGAAAATAACAAAACTTTGGAATCTGAAAACAGGATAATTAGTAGCTGACTTAGGAGACTCAAAGAGGCAGATCCTAATCTGGAAGTACAGATTGAGAAGCAAGTTGAGAAGCAATCTGAGTTATTCCCTAGAACTCCCAAAAGGCTCAAGAGGGTTTATCCTTTGGCAAGGGTGGAACAGAGGTTCTGTACACTGTGAGACACAGTTGAGGGAGAGGGTACCTAAACAAAACCAGAAGAATCAGGTAACACACCTCAACTTGGCTGCCACATCATTCAGCCAGGGATCACCCACCCCGTAGGCAGGAGATGGAAAAAGTATTATCTAAAGAATCTGGTTAGCTAAAAGCAAGAGGTGGGGAGAGGGGGCATGGGTGCATGGAGTGAGGACAAAGCTAAGAATTCTGACTTCGGGGGTTTCCCAAGGAAACAGCCCAACCTAGATCATCTTAGTCTAGATGACAGAGTCAAAAACCTCCCTTTCCCTGCCCTCATCCTCCTAAACACAGACAGATGGCTTCCAGCAGCTTTTTAGTATCTTACTATTAAATATGAACAAACGGATGAGGATGAACAGAGAAAGAGAAAGATAATAAGAACAGATAAAACAGATACGAAAGAGAATACTTAAAGTAAACATATCATTGATATTGTCTGAGAAAGAAGATATCCCCTGTAAACAAGAACAGGATGCTACAAAAAAAGGAACCTTCATGGACATGGGAACTCTTGGATATTAAAAATACGAAAGAAGAGGCTGGGCACGGTGGCTCATGCCTGTAATCCCAGCACTTTGAGAGGCCAAGGCAGGTGGAATACGAGATCAGGAGATTGAGACCATCCATCCTGGCTAACGTGGCGAAACCCCCTCTCTACTAAAAAATACAAAAAATTAGCCAGGCGTGGTGGTGGGCACCTATAGTACCAGCTACTCAGGAGGCTGAGGCAGGAGAATGGTGTGAACCCAAGAGGTGGAGCTTGCAGTGAGCCAAGATCACACCACTGCACTCCAGCCTGGGTGACAGAGTGAGACTCTGTCTCAAAAAAAACAAAAACCAAAAAACAAAAACCATGAAAGAAGAAATGGAAGGCCATTTGCTAGAAGTCTTGGAAGCTACAGTATAGGAAATTGCCTAGAAAGTAAAAACACCAAAGAAATGCAAAATCGGAGAGAAAAGATGAGAAAATTTGAAGTCCAGTCCAGGGATCCAATATCTAAATAGCAGGAAAAAAATGGAAGAAATAATATCATCAAATAAATAATTATAGAACATTTCCTGAACAGAAGGACATGAATTTCTGGATTTAAAGGCTTACCAAGTACCATGTACAGTGTTTGAAAGTAGATTCATACCAATGTACATCATCAGGTACTTTTAGTATACTGGAACATAAAAGGTTCTACAGCCTTTCAGAGAGGAAGAGAACAAATTCTCATGTGAAGGATGAAAATCATAATGGCAATACTGGAAGCCAGAGGACAGCAGAGCAGCACCCTCAAAGTTATAAAGAGAAATCAGTTTTGGCTTAGAATTCAGGAGTCTACCAAAGTATCATTTGAGGTTAAAGATAGAAAAATAGGATTTCCGGCCTCTCGGCTTTCAGCTCAGAGGGGGCGAAGGTGCAGCTTTCTTCGGTCCTCCCGAATCCGGGTTCATCCGACACCAGCCGCCTCCACCATGCCGCCGAAGTTCGACCCCAACGAGATCAAAGTCGTATACCTGAGGTGCACCGGAGGTGAAGTCGGCGCCACTTCTGCGCTGGCCCCCAAGATCGGCCCCCTGGGTCTGTCTCCGAAAAAGGTTGGTGATGACATTGCCAAGGCAACGGGTGACTGGAAGGGCCTGAGGATTACAGTGAAACTGACCATTCAGAACAGACAGGCCCAGATTGAGGTGGTGCCTCCTGCCTCTGCCCTGATCATCAAAGCCCTCAAGGAACCACCGAGAGACAGAAAGAAACAGAAAAACATTAAACACAGTGGGAATGTCACTTTTGATGAGATCGTCAACATTGCTCGACAGATGCGGCACCGATCCTTAGCCAGAGAACTCTCTGGAACCATTAAAGAGATCCTGGGGACTGCCCAGTCTGTGGGCTGTAATGTTGATGGCCGCCACCCCCATGACATCATATATGACATCAACAGTGGTGCTGTGGAATGCCCAGCTAGTTAAGCACAAAGGAAAGTATTTCAATAAAGGATCATTTGACAACTGGAAAAAAAAAAAAGATAGAAAAATATATTTTCAGATATGTAAGCTTTCAACAATTTCACCTTCCATAAAAAGGTACATGGGATAGAGTGTGGGTAGAAGTTAACAGATAATGCCTTAAGGGCTGGGTGGGCATAGTGGCCCACGTCTGTAATCCCAGCACTTTGGGAGGCAGGTAGATCACCCGAGGTCAGGAGTTCGAGACCAGCCTGGCCAACATGGTGAAACTCTGTCTCTACTAAATACAAAAATTAGTCGGGTGTGGTGGCAGACACCTGTAATCCCAGCTACTCAGGAGACTGAGGCAGGAGAATTGCTTGAACCTAGGAAGCGAAGGTTGCAGTGAGCCAAGATGGCACCATTGCACTCCAGCCTGGGCAATAATGGTGAAACTCCATCTCAAAAAAAAAAGATAATGCCTTAGAGCCAAGTGTGATGGCTCATGCCTATAATCCCAGCACTTTGGGAGGCCAAGGCGGGCGGATCACTTGAGGGCAGGAGTTTGAGACCAGCCTGGCCAACATGATGCAAACCCATCTCTACTAAAAAATAGAAAAGTTAGCCAGGCATGGTGGCTTGCGCCTGTAGTCCCAGCTACTCAGGAAGCTAAGGCAGGAGAATCCCTTGAACCTGGGAGGCGGAGGTTGCAGTGATTCAAGATCACGGCCACTGCACTCCTACCTGGGGGACAGAGCGAGACTCCATTTCAAAAAATATAGATAGATAGATAGATAGATAGATAGATAGATAGATAGATAGAGCCTTAAAAAAAGTTAAAGTAGGCCGGGCGCAGTGGCTCAAGCCTGTAATCCTAGCACTTTGGGAAGCCGAGACGGGCGGATCACGAGGTCAGGAGATCGAGACCATCCTGGCTAACACGGTGAAACCCCGTCTCTACTAAAAAAAAAATACAAAAAAACTAGCCGGGCGAGGTGGCGGGTGCCTGTAGTCCCAGCTACTCCAGAGGCTGAGGCAGGAGAATGGCTTGAACCCAGGAGGCGGAGCTTGCAGTGAGCTGAGATCCGGTCACTGCGCTCCAGCCTGGGCGACAGAGCGAGACTCTGTCTCAAAAAAAAAAAAAAAAAAAGTAGTAAATCAGTGTGTTATCTAGAGAAATGGAGATAAATACTAAAAGAATCAGCTAACAGAGGGGAAGCAGAAAAGGGAAAAAACTGAGAACTGCTGTTTCTCAAAACAAACCTTTTAGGACTGTTTGGTTTTTAAATGATGTGCTTATATAATTGTAAAAAAAATTAAGTTTACAAAAGAAAAGATGGAATAGGTCACGATGGGCATACAAACTTTCTTTTCATTTTTGTTTGATAATATGGATCTTTCAATTTGACAAGTCCTTTGACAGCATATAATAGATAAATTGTTCAGATTTAATTTTAACTCATCAGCCTTTGAGTTTCCCAAGGTGTTTCTGTAGGTCTGCATGCATTAGTAAAATCATTCTTTTGTAGCAGTAATTAAGTTATATTTAGATAACTATTTCTTATGGGGACACTGACAAGAGATCCACAGGAAAAAAAAAAAAAAGATGATGATCTTTCTTCTTCCACTGAAGAACCATGAGATAAGAGAACTAGCAGGCGGAGGTTTAATCGTTTTCTGACACACAAGCATACACAGAGGAAAATATGAAATGCAAAAAATAAAAGGTTTTTAAATCCCAGAATAGAAGACATAGTTTCAGTTGCTGCAACCTGAAATGAATTGTTTTTATTAGCTCATTAATGTTTCATGATTTGGGGATATATTTGTATACCATGTTGTTGGACTATTTTATTGCAGTGATGATGCCTCAAAGGATTTTGAAAAGGACCAAATGAATTTTGAGATAGTTATAGTTTTGGGGCTATTGCATGTACTAAACTGAATAGCTTTCTAATATACAGTGAGATTGTATCCATGTTTTATTATACAATATCTTTTTTTTTTTTTTTTTTTTGGAGACAAAGTTTCACTCTTGTCGCCCAGCTGGAGTGCAGTGGTACAATCTTGGCTCACTGCAACCTCCGTCTCCCGGGTCCAACTATTCTCCTGCCTCAGCTTCCCAAGTAGCTGGGATTACAAGTATGCACCACCACACCTGGCTAATTTTTTGTATTTTTAGTAGAGACGGGGTTTTTCTATGTTGGCCAGGCTGGTCTCAAACCTCTGGCCTCAAGTAATCTGCCTGCCTTGGCAGGCAGTGCTGGGATTGCAGGTGTGAGCCACTGCACCCAGCCTGTTATATAATGTTTTTTTAAAGGAGACACTAAAACTTTAAAAAGAGAGAGACATAGGGGACAGCATTGAAGATATGTAAATAGAGGGAGTAGATAGTGAATTAATTAAGAGCAAAGAGCAGCTCTTATTCAGTTTTTTTTTCCTGCCCAACAGCATCTTGTTTTGTTGCCTGGGCTGGAATGCAGTGGCTATTCACAGGCATTATGATAGCACGGTGCAGCCTAGAACTCTTGGATTCAAGCACTTCTTCTGCCTCAGCTTCCTGAGTAACTGGGACTATAAGAGTGCCCAGCTGTATTCATTTAACAAATATTGAGTACCTACTATGCACCAATACACAGGTATTGGAGCTACATCAGTGAACAAAATGGACAGAAATCCTTGCCTATGTAGAGCTTACATTCTAGTGGGGTGGGAGGTGAAGAAAGGGACCAAACAAAATGATTACAGGCAGGGCACGGTGGCTCACACCTGTAATCCCAGCACTTTGGGAGGCCGAGGCGGGCAGATCACTTGAAGTCAGGAGTTCGAGACCAGCCTGACCAACGTGGTGAAACCCCGTCTCTATTAAAATACAAAAATTGGCCAGGCATGGTGGCAGATGCCTGTAATCCCAGTTACTCAGGAAGTTGAGGCAAGAGAACTGCTTGAACCCAGGAGGCGAAGGCTGCAGTGAGCCAAGATGGTGCTGTTGTTCTCCAGCCTGGGCTAAACTACATATCAATAAATAATAAATAATGCCTTAGGGCCAAGTGGGCTCTAAGGCATTGGGATGCCATCTTGGATTTTCATAGCTTGAGAAGTCAATGCCTGACTTCCAAGCTTCAAAAGACAGGCTGACTCTCTAGTTAGGACCAAAATTAGCTGAGCATGGTGGCACATGCCTGTAATGCCAGCTACTTGGGAGGCTGAGGCAAGAGAATCACTTGAACCCGGGAGGCAGAGGTTGCAGTGAGCTGAAATCACACCACTGCACTCCAGCCTGGGTAACAGAGTGAGACTCTGTCCCCCACAAAAAAAACAAAATGATTACATACAATACATACTATGTCAGATGGAAATCGGTGCTATGAAGATAAATAACTCAGGAAAGAGAGATGAAGAATGTGGAATAGGGAGAGGGCAGGCAATACAGTTTTAAATAGGGTAGACGCACAATAGGCACACTAAAATGCTTGCTGAAATTATTGATAAAAACACAATGTACAGCTGGGCACGGTGCCTCATGCCTGTAATCCCCGCACTTTGGGAGGCCAAGGCAGGTGGATCACTTTTAAGGTCAGGAGTTCAAGACCAGCCTGTCCAACATGGTGAAACCCTGTCTCTACTAAAAATACAAAAAAATTAGCTGGACATGGTGCTGCACACCTGTAGTCCCAGCTACTCAGGAGGCTGAGGCACAAGAATTGCTTGAACCTGGGAGGCAGGGGTTGCAGTGAACCAAGATCATGCCACTGCACTCTATCCTCGGTGACAGAGCAAGATTCTGTCTCCAAAAAAACCAAAATACATATCTGTCCATATCTGGAAAGCTTGTCTGAACCCTGAATTTTTTTTTGTAATGTGACCATCCTTTTGGGCATTCAGGCACATCATTGGAGCTAAAGCAAAGACAAGGACCTGGAAAGAACTAGGGAAGGTCGCTTGAATAGCACAACCCCAGCGGGGTAGAATGATGGTATAAGGAGAGTCAGATGCAGATCATGGCCTCACAGACCTCACAGTCCATTAGTCTTTAGCAAAGCCAAGCTCTTGGCAAAATACAAAAGATTCCCTATAATAATGGGAGACGGTTTGCTTGTTTTTTCAAAATTTTTTGCATCCTAGAAATGTACAGAGCACAATATCTAGCTTTGAGAAATAAAGAAAACCTTTCAAGTAAACCTTTGTTCCAGAAGAGATCAAGCTGTTCCGTATTCATCCCCTGCTTCCAGCATTTAGGTGCCTGGGTTTCTTGGAAATAATACTTTTTATGTGTCTCTAATACACATCTCCAAGCAAGGGCTAGGAAAACTCCAGGGTAAGCTTTCAATCATTTTTACAGACATTGGGTTTCCATACCCCCCTCTCCTGTGGAACCTGATTTGGGAAAGTAGGTTTTTGTTTTTAATTCTCAGGGAAGTTAAACAAACAAGGCCAATGGATCAGAGCCCCGATCACAAGGCCAGACCCTCAGAGGAAATTCAGTAAATACTACTTTCTGTTCATCTCATACCTGTAGGCTTTCTCTTTGCATCCTGCAAGCCAGTATAGTCTTTTATTCTTATTTTTATCCACATCTGCAAAATTCATGTGGACACCTGCAGATTACTCTGGGTTATCGTCAGACGTACTTCTTTCTTTCCCTGTCTCTAATTATGTACTAAGGATGCAGCCCCTGAAGCTCAACTTCCATTTCTCCAGCAGTCTCCTCACCCTTGTAGAATAATGAGACCCTGTCTTTTGAGAGTACAGTGCTTAAAGTAAATGGTGTTTAAACTGAAGTTTCCCTCTGGTTTTATTGGTAAAGACAGAATCCTTGACTGCCCTGCAGGCACAGTGCCCTTGACTCTTCTGGCTGGTCTTTGTTGTGGGAGAGCTGTTGGAACCTGTGTGTAAACATCACAGTGAGGGGCACACCCAGGGCATCCTCTGTGCTGGGCCTGCTCCTTTTGAAGTGTCTGGTGATTGTACCATTGTCATGCCAGTTGGAGGAGTCCTTTTGTTTTACAATGGCAAAGCTCTGAAGAGCCAGCTGATAAGACTTGGGACCCTGGTGTGAAACTGACC